ATACTAGAAACACAAGGTGGCATCGTGGACACAGTTGACTATGTCGGGCCAATCCTCGAGAATGGATTGGGGAGAAGCAGGTCCCGACTCGTCATCAATGAATGGCGCAAAATAATAGCGGAAGATTCTGAAAGCATCACGGGCCAATATGTAGGCGGAGGCTCGCTGCATGCCGCATTCTGGCGAACACTCTGTGCAGACCTTGAGTTTGTCCAACACGCCGAAAAGTCGGCCTACATGAGGCAATTTCGCAGAATCCCGGAGCACTTGACCGAGAATGAAGCATATGCGAGATGGCTGCGCATCGACGAGCAGTCACATAGACGCACGTCATTGATAGCCGGCCTATGGGTCGAGCCGTCAAGGAGCGAGTCGGACGTTAAGAGTAAAAATGCTTTCCAATACTTGCTCGAATGTGCCGCCGGCGGGAGGCGATTTTTCCGGACAAAGAAGGGCTATATAGGAACCGGCCCGGCGGACACCAACGTAGGAGATTCGGTGGCGGTTCTGCTGGGTAGTCAGGTTCCCTTCATACTTCGCCATGGAAAGAAGCACAGCGAGCGTTGCTACGGTCAACAGGTCCGAGTTCTCTTCAGCAAGCGGTCGTCAACCCAAGCAGGGAAGGGGGCCAGGGTGCAGAAAGACGAGGGCCTTCATTGTTACAGTTCGCACCAGGCTTGCTACAGTGTTGTCGGAGACTGTTATGTTCATGGCATCATGGAAGGGGAAATTAAGCGTACCAATCAGTGGGATATAGGGCCGATATACTTAATATGACAGCGACTCATACAGATCCTTTTCCGTCATTGTCCTACGAAGTCAGTATTTGAGGCTTATTAGGTGCATCCCGGCTGTGCCTTGGAAGCCCACCACATATCAAACCGTCATCATCATGCAAAGAGTGCTAATAGCAATAATTCGTAGGCAGAGTTAACAGAAAACTGTTGTTGGATGAGAATAGGGAAGCTGTTGGCTCGTAAAGAAACATAAATAGTCACATAGGGGCCCGGACGTAGTCTTGATCAATAATAGATATCGCCCATGCCCGCAATCCGCCCACCGAAGATTAACCGTTCATGCTGTAACTTCCATACCAAACAAGGAAGCAACGACCGAGACAGACGTCATTTGCAAACAACTTAACAAGCAGCACGAAACCCAATGAAGGAAGTCAAGGCATAATTTAAAGAAAGCGAGGAGGCAGTTAGGCAAATATCAGAACGGATATGAGAGGATTCTTATTCGCAACACGAAAGAAGCCGCAATTGACTACACACCTTCGTAGAGTCTCGTTGTTCCCGCTCAGTCCTTCTATAACAGCATCGCGCGCCCCGGGCCTCGCCTTCAACTACAACCACTATCCGCACAATCAGAAAAGAACGAAAATGACAACCATCACGTTGCAGTCTCCCCAAGTGGGCGTCTCGCTCCCTACGGGTTTATCAGAAGAGCTATTGCTGTCATTTTCCCCATTCAACGTAAGTCTAGGTGCCTCATCGCAGATACACATATATACAAGTCAGTAGATCTAATAAGGCCTATAGAATTGGCTCAAGACTTTAACAAAGTCGCTGTCACTCCAACACAGCGACTCCAACCACCCATTCCATAAAGACCCGTACGCCCTGCGCTCCATCGAGGTGCAGAGCTACGACCTATGGGGGTCCGCACGCATCGGCTTCCTCAAGATGCGCGCCAAAGTGACCAATTCGGCTGGAGAGGCGTTACCGGGCGCCGTATTCCTGCGCGGACCGGCCGTAGCCATGCTCGTGATGTTACTGCCCGATGACATTGCCGGCACCGAAAAAGAGGAGCGCTACGTACTTCTCACGATCCAGCCGCGCATTCCGGCCGGCAGTCTGGCCTTTGCCGAGCTGCCGGCTGGGATGGTGGACGACGAAGACGACGGCGCTTCAGGGGGGAAGTTCGCGGGCACTGCGGCCCGCGAAATCAAAGAGGAGCTCGGCTTGGAAATCCCCTCTTCAGAGCTCATCTCTCTTAGCGATCTGGCCGCGGATAGAGGAAAGCATGGCACCGAAGGCGCTGGGGAAGGCCTGCCGGAGGGAATGTATCCATCCGCGGGCGGCTGCGACGAGTTTATCCCGATCCTCATGCACGAGCGCCGCGTGCCGCGAGATACACTGGGCGAATGGCAGGGCAAGCTGACGGGTTTGCGGGAAACGGGCGAAAAGATCACCCTCAAACTCGTGCCGATGAAGGATTTATGGTGGGAGGGTAGGCACGATGCAAAGGCGCTTGCTGCGGTGGCGTTGTGGGAGGCATTGCGGCGCGAGGGGAGATTACACGAGAAGCGAGAAAAGCTGTGACGGAGCGAGCCCGCTCATAATTGGATGGCTAGTGAGTTCAAGCAAATACCCCACTTTGCTCGACTACTCGTATGTTCCCAGTTTGTATGAACCTGTCCTTGGATGGAGAGACTGTAGATTAATATCTACCTGTATTTCTCGTATTTAGCTATTTCTTTCAGTGCTGCTTCGACTTTTGCCACGATATCAGCGTCGTATACGTCTTCCGGCTGCTTGCCACCGCGGAGGATTTCCTTGTCGTGGCGTATGCCTTCTTCTTTGGTCATCAGTACAAGATCGGTCAGTCTCAAACTTGACGACTTCTGCTCGTCGGCACCCTCTCCAATCTTGACCAGGATGGGACTCGTAGGCTTTCGCCAGCGAGTCAGGATGAGACGAGTCGTGATTCCTGTGACGACACTCCGGCCTTTGTAAATCTCCTCCGCCAAGAATGCGATATCGCCTGTCGTAATTGGTGTCTTCAAACCGACGGTGATGCTTGGGTCACCATTCGTCTGATGCCGAAGGATCTTCTCCTCGCCTCCTTGCACCGATGCGAGTAGCCCTTCATATAGCTTCTCGCGCCCTTTCGCTGGTAAGTAATCGTGGGGGTATCCTGTTTCATATTAGCATACAGATAAAGCGGACGGGGGTTTATGCTTTTGTACCTGTGATAGCGAGGATTATGTGATTTGCAACAGTGTATCCAAAGACAGCGGGCATGGTACCCAAAACGGGCAATATGCGCACTCTGAAATCGGGGAGAACGCCCAGGTCACCGACCTGGCCCTTCTGAAACTCGTCTTCGGGTAGGGGTAGCAGCTCGGCTTTGCCCTCGCCTGTCTTCTCAGTCGAGTAAACGGTGGGGATTCCCTTGGTCACGCCGAGCAATTTCAATCTCCTGCGCGTAGCCCTCGATAATCCGTCTTCCGTACTCGTGCCAATATCACCAACCACGATACGTGTGGGGTCACTTTTGCACCCGGCGCCCATGGCCGAGATAACCGGCAACTCATGGTCGTGGCAATACTTCAGTAAAGCGACTTTGGTATCGATATTATCAATGGCATCGACGACGAAATCCGGCTTCCGGCCCGTCTCCCTCCACGGCGCGAGCAGTCGGTCGGCGGCCTGGTCCCAGAATTTCTCCTGTCGTAAATCGAAGTGCACCCAGGGCGTGATGGCCAGCAGCCGCCGTTGCAAGCACTGTACTTTGGGGATACCGACGTCGGCGAGCGTGGCCACGGCGTGTCGGTTCAGCGAGCTCAAGGTGACCTGGTCGAAGTCGATCAGCCGTATGCGCGACACGCCGGACCGCGCGAGCGCCGCAGTGCAATGCGAGCCCACACCGCCGCAGCCGACCACGACGACAAATGCGTCGCGCAGCTTTTCGAGGCCTTCTGGCCTGAGGAAGACGCGGTTCCGCGCCAGTTGTTCGAGGATGAGCTCGTCGTCGTAGTCACCGGCCTGGGCACGTCGCGCGAGGATCTGATTGCGGAGGTCTTCTTTCTCTTCCTTCGAGGCGCCACCGAAACTGTTAAGCTACCTTGCGCGTCTTAGCTCCCGTGTTTTCTATTCTCTATGCTAAGAGACGTGGTGTGGTGTTCTGGTCGGGGGAAGTGTGCTCACCTTTCGCAGCGCCTCGCTGTCCTCGGAAAGAGACGGTATCGAACTCTTCAGGTTCTGGACCCGCTCCTCCTGCCGCAGTCTCTGGTAGCCTAAAATGGCGCCTGCAACGACTGCACCTGACACAACGGCCGTTGCGGCGAGTTGTACCCGCGAATTGGCGCTCGCTCGATCAAGGAAAGACGCCATTTTTCTTTTCTCCCTATAAACACCGCTCCAACTTTCTTTTCTCTAGCCGTTTATTTTCACCTCTTTGCCCAATTGTACCGTGTCATTCTATAAAACCATGGTGCTCGTAAGAGGGCCTGCCTGTGTCGTGGTTGTGTAATTGTTTTCTTTGGACAATAATGAATCGAAGATCTGCCAGATGACGAAATTTTAGATACCACCTAACCAGGTACCTACGGTTACATGCACTTTTCTACAGTGTATACACACAGTACCGGTTTTAAATCCACAGTAAGCGGACACCCTCGGACTCAAGATATGAAAGGACCTGAACATGGCTCATCGTGAGAAACAACAGACAGTTTCGCACTTCGATTACATCCTATTTTCCACAGCCTTTCTATTAGGCTATAAGTCTATCAGGGTCTCTAGACCTATATAGAAGGCATGTATTACGGCAACAGGTTTGCAAAGTGTATCGGCCTGGCTGCCGGGACGGGGTTACCTCTGTACGCCGGGCATGCTGCACACCGTCGATACCTTCACAGATAGCGAATTGAACATCATCTCATCCGGTATAGTGTAACGGCTAACATATCGCGTTTTCACCGCGGGGCTCGGGGTTCGATTCCCCGTACCGGAGTCATCAGATCAGCCTGGCTCGAGTCAGGCTCCTTTTTTTACTCCCGGACTAACAGCAGTCGAGATAATAAGAGTAGATAGGGTCAATATGCTCCTTAACATGCCTTTTTTCCCTTCCCTTTATAAACTGCTATACTTTGTTATATAGCGCTATTATATACTACCTTCTAATAAATCAGTAATAAAAAAAGGATAAAAACATATATATTATAGAGTTTAAGTATAACAAAAACAAAGGAAAGGAAACAAAAAGATATGCTCTCGATCGGGGAATCGAACCCCGGCCACCTGCGGCTTGTCTGATGATGACAAGCAGGTATCCTGACCACTAGACCAATCAAGATTGAGTATGGGAACCGCAGTTGTGACCTATCAAGCGCAAGCCAGCGCCAGGTACACAGTTGCATCGGTTTGCTGCGTGAAATAAACAAGACCCCATTCAACCTTACATGCTTCTCCTAAGCTGTTTGTTACCTCATCTCCTCGGGACTAACGGGTACCGTATTCACAAACAGGTTGGGACAGACGCAGTAGACTGCAACCTCTCTACAAGTCAGACATCTCTGAGGGTCAAACCGATCACCCAGGGCCAATGTGCATCGAAGTTCAAGTTTCATCTTCCCAACCGAAGGCTTATGAGACGAACTTGATGGTATTCTTATTGATGAGTATGTCTAAGAAAGCGTAGCTTAGCTCTCTCTGAGGGTTAGGCGTGATGCCTGTCTGGAGTAATTATGATAAATCGTCGGAAAGGCGCCAAACTTCACAGACAAAGAGGACGGCATTACCAAAGAACTCGACAGGCCGCTCGAAGTAATAGGTCGTCGCTTCAACCGGAGGCCCAGATCCAATTGAAGCATGGCCTACCCACCTAACTCGTCTCAAAGCCTGGTGGTACCGACCAGTCCGGGGACACCAGAGTCCAGACTGCACTCTAGAATCCTTGTATCGATGCGCGATGCGAGGAAGCTCAATCACCAATAACTGGACCATGTTTGCGAATATATGATACCGAACCCTTCACCCTCGTAGTCGGCCACCAGCTCAAAATCTCGGCCGTCCCATCGGCTTTTTGACCTTCTCATCTACCGTGACGCCCCGGTCCTCGCCCTCCCCAGCTTTCGAGTCTGGCCCGTCCCGCCTGACTCCCGTAGACTTGCTAGGCGCCTGTTGTGGGTCGGGCTGCTTGGCCGGGTGGTCGCCGGGGCCTTGCTTGCATTGCGCTTTATGTTTCTCCGCCACGCCCTTGGATGGGTCATTCGATTCATGGGTTTGGTCGAATCTCGGCTGGCCTGCTTCTGACTGGAATTGGCGCGAGGTTGTTGCGCGCAAAGCAGGTATAGACGATGTTTGTTGTCGGGGCCACGTGCCGCCGAGATGGCGTAGTTGTCGCATAGTGGCGGGTATCATTTTCGAAAAGATAAAGGGTGAGAACGTAATTGCGAGATTGGCTTCGTCTTAATCTTGTGGTGATTGTTGAGGTTGAATGGATCGTGAAAATAGAGTGGCCTAGGTTTATTGACTATGAGTAGTCATGGACGTCATTCATGTGTCGTCATTCCGAACTAAGGCCGCCCACAAGGCATATTGATACAAAATGAGAATTAAGTCGATAGCCTGATCTTTTCCCCCTTTATTGTTTTTTATTGGCGATTCGACTTGAAAGCAATTGCTTGCTCCATTACTTTAACAATAAATACTATGGCCAGTGTGAGTTGTATGGGGTCAATAAGGACTGACTTCACCTACGCTACACTTGTAAAGTACGTCGCGTCGGGAAGTCGGGTTAGATCGACCAAATTGTCTCGTTTCCCTAAAAGCGTCCGTCTTCTGCATCAAGTATAGTATTTGCTTTCCGGGGATGTGGCTCTGCTTGCTTGTTTGTACACAGGACCCATCTAGTATGTACATAGGTAATGGCCGGTACTCGTACGAGTACTTCGTCCGGGATACGTGCAGGTACGTCCGGTTGCGCTTTTACTTCTTTACTTATTATATAAGTACCTAGGTATAGCCGAAGGCATTCCGCAATTCGAAACAGCTGTGGAATTGGTTGACCTAGACCTACCCACCAGCCCTACCTTGCAAAGTGGCTATCTACACGTACCTACTTTAGGTAGCCTTGGCTGGGTAGTGGCTGGGGATGACTACCCTCATGAAAAAAAGAAGAATAAAATATTTGTATTGTTTTATGGTCGTGTACGACGCATAACCTAACCAACCCTTCTCCTACCTTCAAGTTGTATGGTGGCGCATTTAACCTCCATAGACCCCAATTCTTAAAGTGGTATTGTGATTATAGTACCCACGTCAGTGGCAACCTGCGAGCCAGGGGAAGGAATGGGCAGTTAGTATGTACTAGGTAGGTAGGGCGCACTCGTTTTCTATCCCCTCGTGCCTACCTTGCCGCCATTCTATTTTGTCCTCCTGCCCTTTTTTCATCGCATTTAAGATTTTCCAGGACAACCGAAATATGAGAGCTAGAATGAAGACGGCCTACCTATCCTCTTCTGCCGCGCTCAACGCCATCTCCAAAGCACAGGTTGTTCAACTGCAATGGACGTCGGATCTGGGCAATCTCGATGGGCAACACACATTGGGACCCGACGGCCCATGGCAGGCTGTCACCATCGGGGTTGGAATAACGGCAATTGCAGAAGTAAGTAAGTTTCAGATTGTACCTAGCCCTGACGGAATGGATAACCTAGATCGGTCATGTTTAGTGGTACCTACATAATACTTAAGCCTTAAGGCGCTAATACCACAAACTACCGGTATCATACCGACAGTGAGGGTAACTCAACTAACACGGAGACTAGATTGGCCACGGCCGGTTTAGTACAGACGTATGGCCGACTGGTGGCTCTGAAACTTATATTGTCGCTAATACATCCAACGGGCTAAATGCTTTGGACGACTCGCCCTCTGCTACAAACACGCAAATATACGCTCAAGCACCCAGAGAGTGGTTTGTGTACAACACGACGACCACAGGGCAGTCCTGGGATGCATACGGTTATTTCGAGTCAATCGTGCTTGCCCCTTTGACCAGTAACGATATAACTGTCAATCGTTCAATCCTGGTTATGAACAATTCAATCTTCACTGAAGCTGATGGCCGTGTTCTCCCAAACAAGGTTGGAATCTTGGGGCTAGGTCCGGAAAGCGTGAATAGCCCAGATAATGACCCGTCGATCCTTGACCAGCTTAAAGCATATAAAAACATCACCAGCAGCTCATTTGGTATGCACATGGGAAGCGCGCCACACAACCAGTCTGGCTCCCTTGTATTAGGTGGGTATGAACAGAACAGAGCTCTGGGAAAGGCAGGGACCTTTAAGATCGATGACAGTGCCGTGGTGAACATGTTCTTGCTCGACGTTCTCCTGGGCACTCAGGTTGGCAACTCGCCTTACAACCAATCTACCATTGGCAGCATCTACCAAGGAGTCGGCAACAACTCCTATGCAGCTGATATCGTCAAACTACAAGGTGGAACTCCCGGTTCGGTCTTGGTAGAACCGTCTCCGTCCGTACCATATATCTACCTTCCTCCCGGCACTGTGAGTGAATCCCGAAGTCACATACACCCCCTAACCTAATCACTTCATATTGGAAGCAGTACTTTTCTTGTAATCAGTATCATGTATGCCCCTATGAGCAGAGTGGTAATAACCTCAAGATTCTCGTCTAGTGTGAAACTGCTTCCCAATATCTCCCGGTTATATGGAACGAGAGTCTGGCGTTATACCTTTGGAACCAGAGCGATCCGAAATATTCAACCATTATCAACTCCCCTGCATACATGGCTATTGTCCTCGCAGATTCAGACGCACGGAATGTGACAATCAAGGTTCCGTTCCAGCTTCTCAACCTAACGCTCTCACGACCCCTAGTGGACAAACCACGATCATATTTTCCATGCAAGTCCTTAACAACCGAAAATACAGAACAACCAGTCGTCTCCTGGCCTCTTGGCCGAGCATTCCTACAGGCAGCCTTTTACGGCGTTAACTATGATACGCAGACCGTTTTCATGGCTCAGGGACCAGGTCCGAATAGTACGTATTCCATGTTGGCTGAAACTGAAATATGCCATTTCATCCTTTCATACACTTTAAAGAGGGAGCAATGATACTTTAGCTCACGGCGGCTAACTAAAGCACTTCTCTCAAAAGTGGAGCAGAGAGTGGTAAAGACCATCGATGAAAAAGACACGTCGATATTAACAAATCCAATTGATTCGTTTGAAAAGAGCTGGTCAACTTATTGGACGGTCCTATCTGAACCAGGCCCGACTACGCTACCAGCCCATCATCATCAGTCGGGTATTTCAGCCGGAGCAAAAGCCGGTATTGCGGTTGGGAGTATCCTCGGTGGTCTTGGTATTTTCGGTGCAGCCATCCTCCTCTGGCGTAGGACAAGCAACAAGGAGCAAACCGAAGATCTGGGCCCTACACAAGACAGGCCAGTAACGCCGGTAGAGGAACTTGAAGCCAGCCGCATTGCAGTTGACAAGAGCGATCCCTTGCCGCATGAGAGTGAGTTGACTCGACCCGTGATGATTACATCTGAGCTAGCTAGAACCCGACTAACCTTTATTGTGGTATAGTGATGGCCCCGAACGTAGTGCATGAAGCTCCTCACGAACTGCCTCATTATGAACTTCCAGCAAATCATTTTTTGTACCACCTAAAGTAATCTTTCTAGTGCGAGGGAACTTCAATTTTTTTTTTTTTTTTTTTTAAATTCCTGGCTCGTGCACGGGCCTTTGGCGAACTGGTACACGAACATACTTTCTATATACTTTCTTAGTTTTTACGAGTGGAGTTCAGAGAGAGGAAGTAGATGATCAAGTATAATTCCTAAACTTTGCCTTGTATTTGTCATCGTCTTATACTACATGTAGTCAATTTAAATATTGTTTGCATAAAGTATCTTTGTACCTATTACGAGAAGTGAATTACAAATTAAGTGATATATTTCTAAAATGCGGGTTGAATCCAAGAGATGTATGTATATATAACTGCACTCATCAAGCAAGAATTTGGATCTGTCAACGCATTTCCCCAATCTTGGATACGAGGTGACGGAACTGGTCCGGGGATCGGCCTCCGGTGTAAGCCCGCCACCCCCGCCTCCGAACGTTGGGTCCCTTTTACGGTCAAAGCGTCTTTCAAGTAGGATGGATAGATGGACTTGGAGACTTTTGCCGAATACTTTATGATTTGCAGATATATCTAATCTACCTACCTACTTTACCTATGTAGTATTAAAACTTTATGGGTACCTCCCTACCCGAGGTATGTAAGTATGTAAGTACCTACCTGGTTATGTTTTAAG